CCGCTGCGCCTTTTTGCGGCGCTTCCGGCCCTCCTTGGCGACTCTCCTCGCCTCGCCGGCGATTTGCCACCCGCCGCCGTCCTCTGCGGGGCGGGTTCCGCCGCCGCCGCCGCAACTCCAGCCTGCCGGCCGGAGTGCCCCTCCTCTTTTTGCGCCCAGCGGGCGCAGGCGCAGGCGCCGTCGGCGCAGCGGGGTCTGCGCCGGCGGGGGCGCCGAGGCCCTCGCTGGGGCAGCCGGTCGCGCCTTTGCCGGCGGTTGGGAGCTGCGGCTAGCCTGACCCGAGGTCGAAGGCTTGGCCGCAGCGGCCGCGTACGACCGCGGGACCGCGGGGGCGACCTGACTCGTCGCGAGCGGGGGGCGCAAGAGCCTGCCCTCCAGCACGTCGAAACGTCGCTGGAAGGCAGCCATCTCCGCCCGCAGCAGTCCGACTACGTCGGCCTCCGCCGGGGGCTGGGGGCGACTGCCGCGAGCAGCGGCGAGCTCGGCCCTGGCCGTCCGCAGCTCGGCCTCCAGAGCCGCATTGGAGGCCGCCAAGCGCGCCAGCTCTCGCCGCATCTCGGCCAGCTCGGAGCGCACTTTCCCGCAGTGGGCACCGCACTGCTCCAAGGCCGCCTCCGTATGTGGCCGCCGCCGCCTGAGGAGGCGGAGCCTAACCGGCTGGGATTTCCCCATCGCCAGCTTGTAGAGCTCCGCCGTAATGGCCTGTTGGAGGCCCCCGGAGCAGCTCTCGCTCTCAGAGCCGCGCTCGCCCTCCGACATCTCCACGCCGGACATCTCGGCCGCAGAGGACTCCGAACGGGCAGCGCTGAGAGAGCCCTGCCCTCCGCGGCCAGCTGCTCGGCTGACTCCGCGCAGGCAGCTGGTGCCGGTTTCCGGCGACCGCTGCCCTTGCCGCCCCTACCCCGCGCTGCCGTGGGGACCTTGGGGGGAGGCGCCTCCTGAGCGCCGGAGGACGGGGACAAACTGTCCTCCTCCAGCCTGGGGCGTTTGAACGTCCCCGTCGCGCGGCGGCGTGAGCCTTTCGAGCTCACGCTCAGCCGCTCCGCCAATGTTGTGTCGGACTCTGAGTCCGACCCCCTCCGACTAGACTCCCGTGTGTGGGGCCTGCTGGACGAGTCCAGCGCCTCACCACGAGTCCCGGAGCCACTTGGGCTCCCTTCTCCTGCTACTGCAGGCGAGCCAAGCTCACCCGCACTCTCCTCCTCCGGTTGTGTGGTTTTTTTGTTTTCTCCATAAAGTTCCCACGAGTATGGGGGAAATATTCGGTCCACCCAGGCAGTGCCCCCTGTACCTGGGTAAGTGTTAATTTGTTCCCAACTAGAGGTTCCACTGGTCCCCTAGCTGGGGGTGCGCTCGCGACTGACACTACTCCTCAGCCATGCATACTCTCGCCGCGCACCAGAACTTAGTATTGGAGGAATTTTTTATAGAGGTTATCTTCCTCGCGGTCCGGGCGACCAAGCCAAGACCCTCGTCCCGTTCAGAGTCACAAAACATGACCGTGATCTCCTTACGGATTACGATATCGACGGCTGCAATCGGGGACAGCTTGTGTCCCGATGCTGCTCGCTGGCAGGGTGAGTGCACAACGAGCACCGCCTTTGCCTCTCCGCCACGCTCTCTGCTATGTCCAGAGAGACGGGCGGAGAAACACCCCTCGGAAGCGCGGGCTATGAGCCTCCGCACACAGCCCGCCGCCTCCAGAACCCTATCGGGTTCGCCCGCCCAGTCCAGAAGTCTGCTGCGGGCGACAGTCACTCCAACCCTATCACCCCCGCTAGGGAGACTGTCGCCCGCACCCAGGGTGCACCACGGGGAGGTCTTCTGGCACCGCACCCCAACATGAGCCTCTAGCATGGCTTGAAACTAGTCGAGTTCCTCGTCAAATTCTTGCGTGAGTAAGCCGAAAACAGAATAATTTATTTAGTATGTCTCACGAAGGTTACAATACAAATAAAGATATACCTAATACATTAATATTTCTGTGACCAGCCCCTTTACTAAATAACAGGCAAAAATCTCTGTTTAGATTATGTAAATAAATGCCAATTTCGAATGCAAAATAGACATAAGTACACACTTTGCACATTGATCGAGAGTTCATACAAAATTCATATCTGAGAGTAACTTTACTTTGATTTCCAAAGTGGGACGCAAACATCTAATTATTATATGTTTTGATGTGTAGCTATAAATTTTAGTATTACCTAAAGGTAAATACACAACGCACACATTATTATATCTTGTCCATGTAAAGGGGAGCAGTTTTTAACATAGCGTTTTGTCTTTTTATCTTCGATGGGGTATAACATAATATCACGCCTTTTATCCCCAAAGGGGTAGACAGAGGTGCATATTACGGCACTTAATGCTACTGTAAAATGTAACACCCACTTTTCACTATTTATGTTATGAGTTCCATGTAATAGGGGGTGAGTCTATTGCCACATACCGGACACAATTCAAGTTCACAATTCAAGACAAGTCGCACTTGCGACCAATCAGCCAACAAGGTGCATTACATTTCATTAATGATAATAAAAAGTGTCACCTTTATTATTTACAACAATTGACTCGAAGATTAACTCTACTATCCTTCACTTGGCAGTTGTTCTTGTGAACAATAGACCTTTTTTTTAACGTGTGGAAATCCTCATCAATATCCTTTGTCTAGACGCTGCGGAGAACCTAACGGGTTACCGGGGCTCCGGCTCGAAGTGCAGGAGTAGGAACGGGGTGGTTTTTAGTCAGTAATCGTCTGACACTCCCTCCCGCCTCACCCAGGCGGGAGAAGTCATTCGATGATTTTCCCCCCTTAAAATAAAACCCTTTGTCTAGACAATGAGCGTCAAACAACAGGTTATGTCGAACTCTTACCGACTAAAACTACACACTCAATCCCAGAAAACAATGAGAGAGTCACTGGGTACTCGAATGAACGAACTCACCTGCGGTGGCCAATAGACCTACCAACTACTGAGGCAGTTAGGTATTAATACTATAGTAGTATTTTCTAAATGACTAAAAAGTATCTTCAAGAAATCTATCAGATACTGAAAATTTCTGTTAATATTCTATTTTAAAATAAAACTTAGGTACTTTATTAATGTAGTCTCCAAAATATCTCAATTCCACTAAATTCCCCGTAGACGTAAATAAACTAAGTGAAATCGAATGAAATTTGCCTAACTTTTGGCTCGGATAAATACCTTGTTTTTCTTAGGAAATTTATTAAAAGCAATTTGGGTGATGCCTTAGTCTAAAATTGTTTATAAATAGTGAGCCTAAATGAATTTGAATATGAAATAATACCTTTCCTCTTTCCATTATTTTGATAACAGCTTTGTAAAAAAGTAGTTTAGCTTTATCTTCTAACTGTTCTGTGCCTTTAGCCAAACGTCACTTTAGCGCTTGTCTACCGAGAGAGTAGAAAACTAAATGTATGGGGATGACCACAACGTCAAAATTTACATCAATTCCACATAATTTGGATTTCTGCTCTACAAGTACTTAAACAAGTGCTAAATGGCATTTGGCTACAGCTGCCAGACCATGCTATGGTCACCCAGACTCATTTCGGATGGCTGCGGAGAAGCGCAAGGAGATAACGTGGCTGCGGTTCGAAGTAGAACTAGGAACGGAGTGGTTTCTAAACAGTAAGAGTCTGACAATACCTTATCCCCTTGCCGCAATCCCATTTTTGCCCGTTATAAAGGACCAATAAGAGTAAGTTTAGTGCGGGAAAGCCATGCTATAGCACGAACGGGCCGTCTCGACCGGAGTAATACCACGGCCTCACAGAAAACCGATGTGACACAACGTGAAACGTGTGAGGTAGGTTACCGAAGGCCTTACCTTCCCCCCACCTTTTCCCAATCCCTGAATCCCCAACAATCCTCAAATTCCTAATCCCAAAAGGCCGGTAACGCACTTGTAACGCCTCTGGTGTTTCAGGTGTCCATGGGCGACGCCGATGCTTACCATCAGGTGATCCGTCTGCTCATTTATCGGCTTATACAATAAAAAACCCATTTAAAGCATAAATCAGACAATTGTATTATAGAAATGGGTGGACCAACCTGGGAACTAAAATCAAGACAACTTTTATAAGACAGAAGTTTCTAATTCATCTAAAGAAGTAATAGAAAACTTATTCACATAATTTTCCCGTTTCCTGGTTACCCAAAACGGTTCAAATGAAGGAAAAAGATAAATGAAAATTCTGTAGATTTTTTAAAATAATTCTCTTAAGTACGGAGTCAACAGGACTAAAACGTTTAATAGATAATTAATTAACTTTTGGGTACCGGCCAAAGCCGCCCTTATCCGGGATTCGGGATATAACATTTGTCATTAACATCCCTTACATTTACTGTCTTTTCCAAGTTGTCCTTTCTTCCATTTATGTAACAATTTGGGAAATTCCTCTCTTTCCTATTTCATTGTAATGTGCTATAAGTATCATGATTCAAATGACATACCAATACTGGATCCGTAAGAGTAAATAATGGAGTCGCCTAATTACATAACATAACTTCACGCTTTTTATCCCCGTAGGCAGAGGTGCACATTATGGCACTTAATGCCATTGTACAATGTAACACCCAGTTTTGACAATGTTATGGGTCCCATATACCGGGTCCACATACCAGGGACATTTCCAGACTCAGTGATGAGAATTTTGACATAGATAGGACAATACTAAGTGTTAATTTAATGCCTTTTCTGATAAAAATAAACTGTTATAATATTAACAAAGAGTAATCAATCGCTTCATCATTAGACAGAGAGCAAACGCGAGTCCTTGCAACAATAACTAGACCCACCGGTTTCTCTACGCGTCAGTGCAATCACTAATTAAAAAAAACAAAGACATTATAAGCGAAAACAATGAAGATAATAATTGAGATTATTTAATTTACATAACCATTATGGACATAGTTATCTTATTTAGTACTTTTTGTAATTTTAAACAAGGCAGTCGTATCCTACCAGACGTCATGTCTTTTAAAGATAAAGTTGTTATAGTAACCGGATCTGGGTCTGGTATGGGAGCAGCGACAGCGCTGCTCTTTGCTGAAGAAGGAGCTCACGTTGTAATAGTGGATTTCAGTGAAGAAAGAGCTAATAATACTGCAGAAGAATGTAAGAAACATGGAAACAAAGTCCTTGTCATTGTTGCTGACGTCTCCAAAAAAGAAGACGATGCGAGAATAATTAATAACGCTATCGATGAGTTTGGAAGAATTGACGTTTTAGTTAACAACGCTGGAACTGGGAAGGTAGGACGAATCATGGATGGAACCATAATAGAAACATTCGATGAAGTAATGAATACCAATCTCAGATCTGTGGTGGTATTAACAAGCCTGGCTGCTCCTCATTTGGCGAAAACCAAAGGCTGCGTGGTAAATACGTCAAGTATATTCAGCACTGCCTTAAGGCATGGTACCATTTTCCCATCTTACTGTGCTTCTAAAGCAGGAGTTGATACTTTTACTCGTGTTGCTGCCTTGGAGCTTGCTTCATCAGGAGTGAGGGTCAATGCCGTCAACCCTGGACCGGTTTACACAAATCTTCTCATCCATAATGGACTACCTGGCACTTGGGAAGAATATGCACAATTTACTGCTTTAAAGAAAGGTTCAGATCCCAAAGAGGTTGGTAATCTCATTTTGTATTTGGCCAGTGATAAGGCTAAGAGTATTACTGGTGTTTGCTATGAAATTGATAATGGAATGAACCTTGTATAGGACAGGACGTTAATGATTATCTACCGTTTGTTCATATTTTATTGTTGTTTTGTTAACTGTTTTTAGAATGATAACATTTATTATGTGCAATATTTCTTGAATTTGGGAATGGGTTAAGCTAGATTTTGTTAATTATAGTTTTATTATGGTTTTGTTTATTTTTTTTCTATCATCTACTTATCAGGTATATTTGTAATTAGATCAATAAAAGTTACAGCAAGGTGTTGTATTGATTTATATTCCTTTTTAAGTAGAATACTATATAGGGTTATTGGTTTTAACTTAAGACCTAAGTTTAAGCTGATTTTAAAGTTCAGTGGACAGCAGAACTTTGACTGTTCGAACTATTTGGTGAGAAGCAAGACACTACTACTATAATAAGCTTAAAGTAGCTCACTTCGGGCAGGATTCCTTTAGAAATTGGCTTGGGACCTATTTATAAAGGATATTAGGATGTTTTATGTGCTCCTTTTAATAGAAAACGGGTTTATAGACATACGTAACATATACCAGGCGTGTTTGGAGACAGTAAGTTAATGTTGTTTTAAAAATATTTAAATATTGGTACGATCTGGAAATTAACATGCTATTTTGGCTTGGATAATAACTCCAAAGACTTTTGCTGACCAGTCACACTTATTGTCATACGAAGATTCACGCAATTAGATACTTATGTTGCAGGCAACTGTAATTTGCAATTATGCACGAAGCGCGGCAAGAATAATAGCATAGTTATATGTTTATACTGTGATAATAGTGGTTACAAAATTTTTTTTAATGTTAAAATTTTTGGATTGTAACACCGTCCACGCCTTGCTCGAGCGGACTCCGCGCTCGCTCCAACAGTCACTATTAAAAATATATATTATCTATGGTCGCCACCGAAACGTAAAGCGAGTGAGCGTGTTAAAAATGCTCAGACTTCCCGCCAAGTTTCTCAGTTGCTTAAATTCATTGTGACCAACATCCAGCTCTGTTCTGTTCTACATACGTGGTTACATTAAACTAAAATACTCATGTAGGCACACAAATAAACATGAAATCAGTTAAACTGTTTCAGAGTTGGACAAAGTACGGCTTAATTGTCCTTATTAATTAATTACCCAAGGGTAATCCGAGGGTATTCAGTGACATAAATTGTTTAAGTGGTTTTAATGTCATTCATTGTTTGTTTGTTTGTTTTTGTTTATTGTCGACACTGACTTTCACTTTTAATTAATGATTTTATCGCAATTTAGACTTTAGTCCTTTGAAATACAGATGCTTTGCAATGGAGATTACTTTTGATTTGCGTTCGTGAATAATTTATTGTTCGTTTATTTATCGATTAAGGTTATGGCATTAAAACTTCATATTTTATAATCGATTAGAAATGAATGGCTTAAATAAATATTTATTTAGATTGTTAGTAGGACAATGCTATTATTATTATTTTTGAACAGACAAACTGTGGCATATTTTATAATATTTCTAAAATGTGCATTGGATGCAAGAACTTTGAAGGTTATTTTAATAAACCTAAAAATTTTAATTATTTTATCATTAACTCGCGCAGAATTTCATGGAAGCTAATATCGTCTTTATTATCAACTTCGTAGAACCAATAATTCTGTATCCAACACAAATTTCAAATTTCAATTAACTTATTTAAATAAGGAACTTAAATTAATAACTACAAACTACAAATTGTAAACAAATCGGCCACAAACAAAACGTTCGAATGCGTTCGATTAATTTCAAATTTCGAATTCTGGAACCGCAATTTGATATCGGCACGTTCGTGTTATGGCGAATTTACCACAATTGATGCGTTCACTTACCGTGAATCCGATACCGACGGTTGCTGAGAAGTTGCCAGCTTGAAATTTTCCAGTCTCGAACTGGACTAACAAAGAGGTTTTACCCACTCCACTGTCACCCAACAGGATCGTCTGTGAATAGAAAGCGAGTGATAATTGTTTTGGAGTCGAGTTCGGATAATTGGTGGGTGATGCATCTCGGTTGGACGCTGAGAGGGTTTTAATGAAAATTGATGGCAGGCACCCTGTGTCTGTATTGAATTGGATGGAGCTATATTTGTTCCTTGCAAATTTTATGTTTACTTTAAATTAGGAAACTACTTCTTTTTGTTTTATGACAAAATATAAAAAAAAACACGCATGATAATAAAAAGATTTAAAAAAATGTTTTATATCTTCTAATTGATTTACTTTTAACTCGTTTTTTACCTGCCACGTGCGCCTGATAGACGAGTACCTATTAATTATTAAAAAAAATCGAAATTAATCTAACTCTTCAGTCTCATAGTAGGTGTTATACATCCTACAAAACATAAAAATATATAATATTAACAATAACACTTTACGCACGGCTTCAAGTTTTACTGTTCTCCATTGTTAAGAGGAAAAATAAAAGCTAAGCGAAGTCAATAATTCTACAGATAATATAAAAACACGTTTCCAAATACACAATAACATCGTTTTCAATAACTTCCACATAACAAACATCAAAAGCTTATGAAGTCATATTTTCTTTCGCTTATTTTTTCTTATGAAAATAAACTGAAAGCGGAAAAGTTATATATTATATTTTACTCTTTATTATTGTTTCCTGAAATATATTTCAAATGTATACAGGGAGATATATAAATGCTTATAACCCCTGACGGGTAGACAGGAGTGCAATCCCAGGCGGTAATCTTATTTGTAGCTGACAAAAGTCTATAGTAAAATCCATTCTACATCGTATATACATCTCTGTAGTCTTGTAACGATTTATAGACAAAACTTACGAATCATATAATGATAGAGAAACAAAACAAAATTAAATATACATTTGAATTTCTAATATTAGTTTGAATGAGGATTCTTAAACATGAAGTTGTAGGTTCGATCTCCATGATTGAAATACAATTTTCTCACACAATCGAACCAACAAAACTATGTAGCTAGAGAATTGTATTGTAAACACGATTGAAAAAGAGTTACTTATGGAGTTTCTTGCTCGTTCTTCTCCATAGGAATCTACACCTCGGAATGACCAACTAGCTTCACTTCTAAATTTTTGTTGTTGACGTTCAAAAGTGCATTCCTGGTCTAATTGAAATAAATGATTTTGACTTTGAAAAATATAGTGCTTTTTCTACCCGACTGTTTTTAACCAACTCCAATCGTACTCAATCAGGGGTCCTTGATCAATATTAATTTCTGGAAACGATCGCAGCAATCAATTAAACAGCTACCTTAAACATTTTCCAATATTTTCTTGTTAGCAACTTCTCAATAAACTGGCAATATTTCCCGACAATTCTTTTCTGCTTTTGTTTAGAAAAAGTACTTAATTAATCGCAACGTTTTAATTAACCGAACTCCTTGTTAGTTAAAAGTTTGAAAGAAAAAATTCTTAGCGTAAAGTATTTTATTGTTGAGAGGAAATTAAAAAGAATGTATTTCTATTTGAAATATTTTTTTGTTTGTTAAACGTAGCGTTTTTGAATGGTAACTTTTTTTTAAGATGAGGACATCATCCTATGACTTCTCCCGCCTTGGGTTAGGCGAGAGGGAGTGTCAGACTCTTACTGACTAAAAACTACCACGTTCCTACTCTTGTTCTTCGAGCCGGAGCCTTAGTAACCCGTTAGGCCTCCTGGGGCTCCGTATGGAATGGTAACTTCGGTTTTATAATTAGAAGGTATAAACACGTTACGCCCTGGCCTTCCGCGAAGGGAATGAGCAAATATTAACTTATATCCCAATAAACTAATTTTCGCCAGTTATTATTCTTATCTTATACTATTGTATAAAGCGGAAGAGTTTGTATTTTGTTTATTTGTTTGAACGCGCTAATCTCCGTAACTACAAGTCTGATTTGAATAATTCTTTTTGTGTTGGATAGCGCATTTATCGAGGATGGCTATAGGCTAAAACTAAAACACCGAGCTGCGACCAATAGGAGCTGAGCAGAGCGTGTGAAACCGCGCGAAAGTAGCTAGTTTATGAGATAGAGGCAACAAGCAGATTCGCTTACGTTCTAATGTTCTCTTAATGGTCAGAAATTAGTTAGCAACATACCAAATTGAGAAATGCTATAAATAAATCGGTACGCTTACTCCTAAAACATGGGATGAAAATGCTTCCTCATCAATGATCTCGTTAACATAATCAATACGAATAATTTACACGCCTTATTCATGTGTGACTTGCAGCTTGGGAGCTATAAATGACCTATATTACTCGTAGTTTTACGTACCAACTTCCAATGAAGAGCCGATCTCATGGTTAACAGAATCCAATCCGAGCCTATCAGCTTAGTACCAGCACCACATATTGATGAAGTATTCCAAAGGTCCCTCAAAGGACGGACAAGGTTATCAAAGCTCTTTGCTACCGTTCACAATGTAACGTAATAACTGACCAACAGCTGCTCATAAAGGTATACTAAAATGACAAAATTCGTCAATGGATTTTGAACTTACTTACTAGAAATTTAAGGTTGAAAATATGGTTTGGGAGGTGGGGGTAGGTTGATAAGCCGGTACTTGTATATGGTAGCGTAATAACTGACCAACAGCTGCTCATAAAGGTATACTAAAATGGCGAAATTCGTCAATGGATTTTGAACTTTCTTACTAGAAGATTAAGGTTGAAAATATGGTTTGGCAGGTGGGGGTAGGTTGATAAGCCGGTACTTGTATATGGTAGCTTTGTCTATAGGCTCGTTGCTAGCTATGAAAGGTTTCGTTCAACAAAGCAGATTAATTCATAAAGGGTTTATTTATAGTGGATGCTCTATTTTTACCTTTGTGCCTTTATAAAACACTGGTTTTAAAATAAAACGCTTCAAACTATGGACAGGTAGAAACCTGGTTTGTTGTAGAAATAGAACTTTTTGGTGTTTCTTTTTAGGAACAATAGAGTCTGGAATTGTGCCCGGTATATGGCAATAGGCTCACCCCCTATTAGAAAGAAAGAAAGAAGAAAGAAAAATAATTTATTTGGTACAACACCAGGTACAAACACAATACAATAAATACAATGCAAACAAAAATTAGGAGTGAAATAAAAAATTAAAAAAAAACAAAAATAGGTGTAGGTATATACAAAAATTTAAAAGTCAAATATACCAACAATAATAATCATGTGCCCGACAGCTGCACCAAAAAAGGTCCTATTACATAGGACTCATAATAAATAGTGAATTGTTGGTGTTACATTAAATGCCTTAATGTGCACCTCTGCCTTCTGGGAGAAAAGGCGTGATGTATAATGATGTTATGTATATGAATACATAACTTTTGTCTAAAAGTATCCATTAGATAAGATATTAGTTTCGAAATTTCCAATTTCTATCTCGTCAGCTGAAAACTTGTAAGCGATCAAGGGCTTAATATTTTTTGTGATTGGAAACATAATTATTATGTATTCGGCTTACATAAGTAATTATTTGACGAGCAACTCGACTAGTTTCAAGCTATGCTAAAGGCTTATATATAATACTAGCGGACCCAACAGACGTTGTCCTGCATATCCATTTGAATGTATAAACAAAAATTCATTCAAATTAGTTCAGCTGTTTAGGATAAATAACCTAAACATCGACTGCAGCGCCATCTGCCGGGCTGATTTGTGAATCTAAACCATTTCCAGATCCCCTTGAACACACACAAAAAATTTCATCAAAATCAGTCCAGTCGTTTGAGAGAAGTTCACAGTGACATACACACTCACAGAAGAATTATATATATAAAGATATAATAGGCTTATATTCATGAGCAGACTGTCGCGCTGCTATTGGAGTATAATGATAATATCGAATAAATACGTGAGTAAGTCGAAAAATATAAAAAATAATTTTATGAGTCTCACGAAAGTTTTAGTGATTGGAAACTTCATAAATAAATTTACTCCCACGGACCCACCGATTGTGGAATGAACTCCCTGCCGTGGTTTTCACAGTAGGCTTCAACATGGGTTTCTTCAAGAGGGGAGTGAATAGGTTTCTTAAGGATCGGCAAGACGCATGTAATGCCCCAAGTGTTGCAGGCGTACTTACATAGGTCACGGTAACCGCTTACCATCAGGTGGGCCGTGTGCATTTCAGCCATCGTCATTCATCATCAACAGCCGGAAGACGTCCACTGCTGACAAAGACCTCCCCCTTAGCCCTCCACGGCGAACGACAACTCGCCAACCGCATCCACTGGCTCCCCGCAACTCTGGCGATGTCGTCGGTCCACCTAGCGGGAGGCCTGCCCACGCTTCGTCGGGGGTGGTAGCGGTTCATCTGCCGGGGATTCTTAGCACCCCCTGCTCCGCCGTTACCGGATCCGCTACCTAGATCAGGAATAGCGGAGCTGCTGGGGACTGGGGGCCGTGTATTTAAGTTGCCGTTCATAGTGAGGGGGGAGGGTTGCCATAATCCCCACGCTTGGCAGGCGGCTTGGGGATCGCAGTTAGGTTACCGATATATTTATGGAATGCTGCAGCCCATTCCTCGGTGTCTGGTTGCAGTTTTAGGACGTAGCCGGGTCCATCGTCGTGGTATAAAAAAAATACCACAATAATATTTTGTTCGACAAGACAAGTAAACCGAAATTCTTTTCTCGACCTTTCTGCTTGTGATTATTCCACCAACAAAGCACTCTGATAAATAAAAAATTATAAAAAAATCAAAACAATACACTTGCTACTCCACTAGCTGTATTGTATACTTCAATTAATTTGTATGCTGAGCCAACAAGATTAGCAGACAATAGGTCTAGTGAGGCTCCACCGAGACAAAGACTACACCGAGTGTGTGTAGCATATACCTCTATTATAATTATATAACAAGAAATTAAAAGATATAGTATACTTTTTATATGGTAACGAGATTAAAATGTGGATGAAAAGTGAAGACAGAGAAATCTAGTTGAAATAATAATGTTAAAGAGGTAGATAATGCGAAAATGAATCCGTTTTTTACATCTATATGCCATAATAAATAAACTAATTGCGATAAATTTTGATTTAAAGATAAATGAACACTTGTAGACGAGTTTTTTTGACATCACTTTAAGTGTTTAGGTAGGCGTTTTGATTTCAAATCAACAGCCTATAAATGCACACTGCTGAGCAAAACCTCTTCTCACACGGAGAAGGTTTGCGCATTAACTCGTCGAGTACCGGTTTTATAGACACAATTAAAGAACAATAGGTTGCGGTCACCGGTGACCGCTTGGTGTTTGACAGTTTAATCATCACGCTTGCTCAATGCGGGTTGGCGATTTCAAACTTATAATTAGAAATTATGAGCCCAGGTTTCCTTACGATGTGTTCCTTCACCGTCAGTGCTGTCTAAATAATCTTAGAATTAATCTTATTTGTCGTTGGTTTTTTATTTAATGTTATGTAAAACATACAAATAATAATAATGGTGGTTTTTAGTCAGTAAGAGTCTGACACTCCCTCCCGCCTCACCCAGGCGGGAGCAGTCATTCGATGATTTTTCCCCCTTAAAAAATGCCAACCTTTTTGTTATTCTGCAAAATTCCGATTATATTTTATTCCGATAATATATATATTTGTGTTCATTAAACTAATGAACACAAATATATACATAATCATCAAGTTAAAACAGGTAGATGACCTAAACAAACAGAATGGCATCATACTGATGACGCTCATGACGATGATAGTCCGTCATTATCAGGACATTCAACTGCACTTATTGGAATCATGCTCGCAAGTGCTAATTTATTTATTACAAACTAGTCATAATTCATAATGATATCATCGATTCGAAGAATCGGTAAGTTAAGGTCAATTTTCGCTCGGAACAATCTATTACTTAATTGTAGATATGTTCCATACATTTTTAATTCTAGTTGCGAGCTGCATCTGTCTATTTGTAAGTGTTTGTAAACGCATTCACGAGAGTTAAGAAAATCCTGATACAAGTAACTTTTATTAAACAAAATTAACACATACATAACATCATGCACTTTATCCCCGAAGGGGTAGATGTGCACATTACGGCACTTAATGCCACTGTACACTGTAACACTCAATTTTCACTATTTATGTTATGAGTCCCATGTAATATAGGGTGAGCCTATTGCCATATACCGGGCATAATTCTAGACTCCGTGCTACTACTGAATTTTTTTTAAAAAACTCAGTTATACTTTGCGCGACCCTGGAATCGTAACCAAAACCCCTTGACCGGCAGTCGCACTCGCGACCACTTGGCCAACGAGGCAGTCAGGCCAATTTGTGGTCAGGCAGTCAGGTCACACAGGGTTGCCCCGTTGCACGGCAGCTGGCTGCCCAGCCACCGTATCAACCATGCAGTCAAAATCTTATCTTATACTATTATATAAAGCGGAAGAGTTTGTTTTTTGTTTGTTTGTTTGAACGCGCTAATCTCCGTAACTACAAGTCTGATTTAAATAATTCCTTTTGTTTTGGATAGTGCATTTATCGAGGATGGCTATAGACTGCAAAACATTACGCTACGACCAATAGGAGCTAAGCAGAGCGTGTGAAACCGCGCGGAAGTAGCTAGTTATTAATAAAATTGTAAGAAATGGACGTATTTTAGTACAAGTAGGCGTATCTATCACTACAGTTACAGACCAGTATCATACCTTATGTATAATCACATCATCATCGTCTTGTGTTCGGGAAGGGGTGACAGCAGGGGGGTGGTAGTCCCTGTACCCAGTGGGGGAGGGGGTGCTTCGTTGTGCGGACTGCGCAGGCGCACGCAGCGTGTCGTCTTCAAACACGTCGTCACTCATACTGTCGTCTGTCGCCATTTGCTGTAACAAAACAAAATGGCGGACTGAGAAAAATGTTACCATACTCCTTATGTTTAACATTGTTAATTTTACAATATATAAAATATTATTTACATAACATCGTGTTGGTTTTAAGTGATTTCTTTAATTGGGGTTGTATATTTGTTTTAGCTGAAAGAATAATAAAGATCCCCAATCTTTTTCTTTTCCCTTCGCTACCTAATGCTTTCTGAAAAAGTATGTTTATGAACATGTTCTTACAAGAAACAATTTTATTACAAAGGATTTCTAAGAATGGTTTAGTAGCCTGTCAGTTCAGTACCTTGCCCTCTAGGTAGGAACCTTGAGGGCACATGACATGACTGCCTAGATATGCTATGCTGTCAGAAGCTTTATCATAAGTCTGCTTCAACGCTGACAAGTTTCAAGAATTAGAGTACGTAGTAAACTTCTCATTATTAAGTACTTAAACTAAAAACAGATCAGAATGTTGTTTAACTAAAAATCGCAGGTTACTCACGTGAATATACTGAGAAAAGTTATACTAGTTTGTAGTGAGTGGGCTGCGTGACATCGCCACGACCGCGCACGCTGCTCTGCTCATAAAGATGAACCCCTCTGTGGTTCGAAACTAGTAGAGCTTTTATCAGTATATTCATGTGAGTAACCCGCGATTTTTTATTAATTTAGTATGTCTTACGATAGTTATCATTTAAACAATGTTGTTTATATAAGATTTTTTTACTTATATGAGTTACAATTTGTTCTTGGCTTAATTACTTAGCAGTATTATACGCTAGACACGTAATGGTCAGTAGAATAACCCAAACCTTAGGTGCTTTAGGCGTTTTTGCCAAATTTAACAGCTCATACATAGGACCCACTAAGGTTTTAGTCAAATTTCCGTGAGGCTTGGCGACTGGGCATCTCACAGTTGTGCAGTCTCTTTTTAAGCCTTTAGGCTTAATTCATTATGTCTTCTGCATTAATTCACCGTGGGAAGTAAAAACTATCATCTTCTTTTTCTCTTATTATAATATCTTCTGATTTATTTCGTTGCGGGAACCAAGATAGTTCCCTATTCTTACCTATTCATGTTCTTGGGACGCGCCGGACTTCGGTGTTCCGGTGTTTCCATGGTTGTATCTATTGTAGATCCTGGCTTACAGGAGTTGCAGCGGTTTTCGAAGGTTGTGGCGGGCTTGTCTCATAAAAAAGGTACCCCTACTTACTGTGCTTACTACCTACTCTGTGGTTGCCCATGATTTGTATGTTAATAAACGTCATTTCTTTTAAACAAACAAAAATCATATTCATTTTACATAAATGATATAGAACTAAGTTCTTCTATTCCCTGAAACTAGGTTCACGATAACAAAGTAGATACTCTTCAAAACATTTCAGGTAAATAACATCTTATTTAAATGCACATAAGATTCGTTTTAAAGTGCACTCTTTGACCGTTTTCCTGTGAAGCGATGTGTACAATTTCTTTAGAAAAGTTGATGCTAAAGGAATATTGTACGAGTCTAGTTTTTGCTCAAAGGTTGAAGTTTTAATGAATGTAACGTAATACAGTGTCATAAGGTTGGATATCGATTGCATTATTAACAGACACGTTTGAATTATGTGCAATACATAGTATGCAATGTGGAGTAAAATTGATCGAGCAAAAATTATTGTTTTTAAAGAAAAGTGTGGATTGAGATGATGTAATGACAAGGATTGAAAAGAGAATGCTACGCTGGTTTGGAGATGTAGAAAGGATGGATGAAAGCAAAGTAACGAAAGAAGTATACAGAGCGATGAATGATATGACTGGGGTCGTCGGTAGAGGGTGCCCCAGCCGAATATACACTGACCAGATTGGCGATGTATTAAAAACTACCCTTAACCGACGAGCATGCATGAAAAGACTGGACTGTTGAAGAAGCTAAAATTCCATAGTCTGTGCCTACCCTCATGGGAGACAGGCGATAAGTTATGTATGTATATGTGCATCCTGCTATCATTGTATTCTAGGTACATACCCTTTTTTTTAGGTACATACCTAGAATACAATTATATGAGGTAAGTATAAATCTTATTTTTCACTATATAAGGTGTAGTTTTGAAACCGTGACATTTCTCGGGGGCATGTCATAGAAGTCATAAAGGTTCAATGTAAGTAAAAGTTTCGGTTCGGTTTAAGTTCGACAGTATTTCAGAATAAGCGACAGCAATGTTTCTGTTTAGGAATAATATTAATTACGTGTTTGAGTTTGTATATGTTAAGCCGCGTTATAAAGCTAGTTACAAGACGGCGGCGTGTAAGTTAATATATAGATAATGCCCGTAATTTACAGAAAAATGAAAAATATTTACCTACATTTTTTTGATTAATTCGGACTCAGAATCGATAGCCGAGTAACCTCCTAGAAAATGACATGGCTTTAAAACAACACCTTGTATAGCTGTTGCCAATAGCCACTGGCAAAAATGAAAAACCTTATTCAAATTTTCACCATAATATTTTACATTTTTTTTTTGGTTCTCAAATTATTTTCCACGCCAACTCGTTTGATTTATTCATCAAAATTGCTGCTGATCCCCTCAAAATTTGAGAACTTCAAAAGAACATCAATGTTTGAGGTGTAATTATAAAAATATTCCTGTTTGAAGGGGGAAAAGGGAAACGTGCCGGCTATTTTTAAAATGTAAAATAAAAGTCGAATATATATAAAACATAGCTATAGTTGTTGTATTTTTGTCCGTAAAACCATGATTGGTATTTCAATTGTGGATCGTATTCTGTTAATGAAAGGTGGAGGTTTCAACGGAAATAAAGTTCAATAGACTGCCTCATCGGCCGAGTGGTCGCAAGTGCGACTGCCGGGCAAGGGGTCTCGGGTTCGATTCCCAGATCGGGCAAAGTATGACTAGGTTTTTCAAAAAAATCACAGTACTAGCACGGAGTCTGGAATTGTGCCCGGTATATGGCAATAGGCTCACCCCCTTATTACATGGGATTCATAACATAAATAGTGAAAAGTGGGTGTTACATTGTACAGTGGCATAATGTACACCTCTGCCTACCCCTTCGGGGATAAAAAGGAGTGATATTATGTTATGTAAAGTTCAATAGGTAAATTATATATTTTGGTTAGTTTTGATAAAACTCGAACAAATCCGATATAATTTTCTATTAATTTAAATGCATGTTTGCACCATTTAATCAAAGATGTCACTAGGTAAACAAAAGTAAAAAATGAATTCTAATAAGAGGTATTTTTTTGGGATAAGCCGGTAAATGAGCAGATGGATCACCTGATGTTACCAATCGGCGTCGCCAATGGACACCTGGAACACCTAAGGCGTTACCAGCCTTTTGGGGATTAATAATTTGAAGATTGTTCGGGATTCAGTAATTGGCGTAATTGGGCCTACAGTACCTGAGTCACACGATAAAACATAACGGTAGCGTTGTTTTACGTCGGTTTTCTGCGAGGTCGGTGGTATTTGCTGAAACATGGCTCTCCCACACTTATAATGTACCTATGTTTTTTTCTAAACTAAATTAAACAATATTTACCTGATAATAAGTAACTATTTAGTTTGAAGAAACAGTGTTTTGAGCAATATTCTTAGAAACAGAACATCTACAAGCGTAAAGTAACCGGGGTCGTCAGTTAGATACAGCTAAAGAGTTCTTAGAAGACGATTCAAGTTTTGAAATGAAAATTGTATTTACTGAAATGTTTATTTTCCTTTAATTTACATTTAAATTACTAAGAAATTGTAAGTTTTAATTATATTAAAATATACATTTCGTCTTCATTGGCTGTTTTTATGAAATAGGACTTTTGCTATTGAATGTACGATTGCTGTGCTGGTCGTAGCTGGGCAGCTGGCTGCTGGCACAGGAGAAAATTGTAGTTTAGATTGTCTATCATTGTGTATGTGATCGATTGGGTGTCATTGTGTATGTGAACTTGTATGTTTGTAAACGCACCCACGACACAGGAGAAAATCGTAATGTTTAAAAAAAAAAGATTATTATTTTATTTCCTATGCATCTGTGTAATAATCTGAAACTATCGAGCAAAGACTTCAATTCCATTGTCGGGTCAGCAAAAAATATAACTTTGAGATCTCAATGGGGTAGACGACTAATTTTTATTTTAATGTCCGTCTGATAGATTATTTAAAAACATTAGACACGTATTTTTTATTTTCTCACAGAAACGAATAGTTTCGAAGATATATTGATTTGAAATGTCGCGTGACGTCACTTCTCAGTACATTTTATACTAAGGAATGACGTTTTAGCCCCCACTCCTAAACTTTGATTCGTTTTATCTAAGTATTGTTTTATTATACGACAAAATAAAAAAATACGTGTCTAATATTTTTTCATTACCTAACTTACGGACTAATTATATTTTTAATTTTCATACCCTCTCATCATCCCCATTCTATTATATTCAATGATATGAAAGTAACAACCTTTCCTACCATTTTACAGATACATCTACAGTTAACCATATAACATACATGACCTATATCTCCTATAAACAGATTAATCTGCGACTCAAAGACGTACATCTAATTGGATCATTCCCGTCTTCCAACTTCGTAATATCCTTACACAAAGTACGTACAAAGTGCTGAATATCAGCTTATAACTGAATCTCTGAGCTTCAAAAGCATATACTATTCAGTATAAGTTTGTACACATCAAGCTATACAAAACCAGTATAACTTGACCGTTAGGTGTGAAAAGATCATACAAAGCGAGATCCGTGTTAAACTGGTTTTCATAGCTAGATGTGTGACCGTGTGTATGCTAACGTATAAAGGTCTTTAGAATGTAGCTAGGTATACGCCGCGAAATCTATTTCGTTTTCGTCCCGCATCAAAAAAACTTGCTATAAAAACTAATATCGGTGTATAAATCCCTCTCCCCTTCCCCAATCTCCCCAATTGCTGAATCCCCAACGGTCCTCTAACTCCTAATCCCCAAAAGGCCGGTAACGCACTTG